TCTAATGACATATGTGGGCCGAGAAAAAAAGGATAGAACGAACAGGTTTATTTGTTCACGAATATATCTTAAGCTGACAACAAGTTCATCGTCATCATTATAATCGTCATCATCTTCATCATAATCCGATCCGTCATGATCATCATCAATATCATCATCATCATCATCCGCATCACCATCATCATCATGATCATCTNATCATCTGAATCATCGTCATCATCAGCATCATCGTCGCCATCATCATCGTCATCATCCGAATCATCATCATCGCCATCAATCGCTGCATTATGATTAAAATCCTCATCAACATCATCATCATAATCTTCATCAGCCTTCGAGTTGTCAGCATTGTCATCATCATCATCAAGCGAATCATCCTTATCCGAATCATCATGATTATCATCATCCTCCGTGTGTTCAACGACATCATCATCATCATCATCATCATCATCATCCGATTCATGATCAACATCATCATCATCATCATCGTGATCCTCATCATCATCGTCATCCTCATCATCATTATCCGAATCGTCATCATCATCATCAGCATCATCATCAACATCATCATCATCATCATCATCATCATCATCATCATCATCATCATCTTGCGATTCACCATCATCATCATCATCATCATCATCATCGTCATCATCATTACCATCATACGAATCGTCATCATCATCATCATCGTCATTCGAAAAATCATCGACATGAACATGATCATCATCATCCTCAACATCATCATCATCATCATCCGAATCATCATCATCATCAACATCACCGTCATCTTATTCATCATCATCATCATCATTATTATCATCATCATCATCATCATCATCATCATGCGAATCAGCATCTTCATCAACATCATCGACATCACCTTCATCCTCATCTTCATCATCGTGTGATTCATCATCTTCTTCATCATCATCATCATCATCATCATCGTCATCGTCATCATCATAATCATCATCATCATCATCATCCGAGTCGTCATCATCATCATCATTATCCTCATCATCATTATTATCTGCGTCATTCGAAAAATCGTAGTCATGAACATCATAATAATCAACCGAATAATCTTCATCCGAATCATCATCGTCATCATAATCATCTGCATCGTCATCATCATCATTTTAATCATCGTCATCATCGTCATCATCATCATCATCATCATGGTCATTGTCATCATTATAATCATCAACATCATAATCATCCGAATAGTCATCATCATCATCATCATCATCATCATCCTCCGAATCATCATCATCATACCGATCGTCACCAACCACACCATCAACATCATCATCATCATCATCGCCATCGTCATCATTATTATCATCAACATCGTCATCATGCGAATAATCTTCATCATCCGAATAATCATCATCATCATCATCATCATGATCATCCTCATCATCATCAACAT